TTCTCTCCAAATTGAGAGGTGACAAGACTTGGGACGGGCTCTTCAATAATTCTACATTAATATCAGCAGTCTTCGATTTGGCCGAGCTTAAATATTTTCGGACGCTTCGCCTATTTTCGTTGCTGTTCGCTCGCCGAAACAACGATTCGGACAAGCTGCCACGTCTAATTACGGTATTATGTACAGGTGTACGCTGTGAACTGTTAGGCGGCGTATTGTAACTGTTGCTAGTGTCATCATCGGATTCTCCACCGGAGTCTATGATTTGATGCTGATTTGAAACTAAACCGAGCCTTTCTTTTATTCGTACATACGAATCCGTGTCCAGATTGTTGTCAGGTGACTGTTCCTGTGTGAAAGATTAAAATACATAAAGATGAAAAAAAAGTCATAAGAAAATTTAAGAAAATATTAAGATGATAAGGATGTGTTTTTGAATGTTTATAATTATATTCAAAAGAAATATGTATAATATAAAAAAATTAATGTTATATACAAATTTTATAATTTTTAATCAATTTATAGCTATAGATATATTAAATTAAAATGTTTTTCTAATAAATTAAATCGAAAATGCCAATATAAGTCTGAATGTACGTATGTATATAAAATTTATTAAAATAAATATATAAATATTTAATAAATAAAGAAAATATAAACATTTTAACCCTTTGCTTTGGGTCCTTTTCAGTACAACTTTAATCAGTAATTACGTGTGACAAGTTAACTAAAATTTTATTAGTAGACAAATAATTGTCAAATATAATGAGATGCATAATCAAATCAATAAGACAACAAGTTGTATGCACACTATTCAGTATTGACTTGTATTGGTAGTTTTTTGTTTTATAGATATTTTATTACTTTTATATGAAATATTTATACTTACATAGCGATTGCGTGACATTCGTTGAGATCTAGCATGAATTGGAGATGGTATCTTGGTGGGACTCAAAGGCGGCGTACGACCCGTCGAGCCGCCTATTATCGGAGGTAGAGAGTTATGCTCTGCTACTTGAGTAGCCCATTCCGATATCCATGCATTATTATCGCGTGAAATGCTCATCTGTAAAATGAGACCATATCGTGAACATCTCGTGCACATTACGAATGCGAACACTTGTAGATGTTATCTACCTTAAAATTATGTACGTATGCTTCGTTGCTTTCGTCTTCAGTTAGAACACCAACGCTGAAAACTTTGTCGATATCCATTCTTGCTTTCTCCTCATCGGTATAGTCCTTGTGAATCGTGTATGTTCCAGCTTCGCTCACCGCACCATCGGAATTAGCATCGACGTTGCTAACGTTAAATACATCTAGATTAGTATCCGTGATATTGTCCGCGTTTAAATCCATCGCGTAACTAACAAATTGCTCTCTCTGATCACTCAACAAATTGTTCTCTCTCTCGTTTGTATTGAAATCATCGTGAAGATAATTCATATTAGATACTTTGTTGTCATCTACATTATTTACTTCTTTACACTCATGATTAACGTCGATATATTCAATGTTCTTTGTGTATCGCTTCTCATTTTCATCGTCATCGTAATTGTTAATCTGAATGCGACTTAAATCATTTATCGTTGCGGATCTTTGGGATGTCCAATATATATTTTCGTTGGTTTCAAGTTCTAAAGAGAGGCCTTGAAATGACAGTTTGTTGTGACGTAATTCATCATCACAGGACCTTGTCATTAAATACTGCTTATTCTGATGAGAAGGATCTACTTGTTCATTCGTGGATTTCTTTGTGTTAGAATGTGCTCTCGAAGAATTCTTGGCACCTAAAGAATATATACAATTCAAATTTTTAATTAATAAGATGTAGAAAAGTAATAAAATGTATTATTTATAAAAATAAATGTAAATTAAATTAAATAAAAATAAATAAAAATATAAATATAAATTAACAAATACAATACAATGTATGCAACTCATAATTCAGTTTCTAGTATTTCGTATTTCTAATTCAAAGACAATATATGCATCTTCTGAAACATAAATTTATAAATAGTAAAATCATGACAAAAGTGACAATAGAATCATCAACATTATTCATAATTTCTGGAGGAAAATCACACATAGTTCCTAACATGGAAATCATTATGACATCAAAGCCATTAATATATCAGTAGGCTATATCATTTAGAATGGGTAGAAGGTACTTGTAAGGAATATTAAGAAGCTTGAAGAACATGACTTCACCATGACTCATACATCACAGGTATTCAGTTCCAATATATATATTAAAGGATCCATACTTTATCAGACTATTCTCAGGGTAAGATTTTAGTAATCAATTTTATAAGTAACTATTAATATATTTAACTT